CCTTGTCTGTCTTTATTAACACCAATTTCTTTTTATCACTGCATAGCGCCGTGGAGTTTCTCAGCGGGTTTTATGTTCCAGCCAGACTGTGTGTAAATTCTCAGCAATGCTACCAACAATGCCAGAAACGGACACTTTTTCAAGCAGATGCTGTTTCTGGTTAAGGAATCCATCAACGCGAGCCAGGCCCATGGTTTCTAAGGACAGTTGTTTAATCCTGCCCCCAGATCTGGGACTTTTAAGCTGTTCTTGGATATGTTTTCTTTTCTGTCTAGTAACCATTGCCCCTACCCCCTCTTTAAAGCCAAAAAAAGCGTGAAATGGACCTGGGGAAGGGATGCCAGAAGTGGGGAACAAGGACAAGGTCCCCGCCTGTCGCCCCTTCCCCTCTCCCCTGGGGGAACGCCGCCCTCCCCTGCAGCTCCAGGAGCAGTGGGCTCAAATCCTGCCGTTCCCCCGGGGACGGTCCTGCCCTGCCGGGATCAGGACAGAGCCTGGTGACTGACATGCCAGGGCGTTCAGAAACACACACCGCCCCACAGGTAACATCTCTTTTTCTGCTTCCACCAGCAACCAGTGGTTTAAGCCCTGCAACCCTTGGACGCTCCTCTCCCCACAGACGGCAGGAGCAGACCCACAGCGAGCACGATGCAAGCCATGTCTTGTGTCCAACGCAAGACATTTATGCGGGTAAGGGTAATTTCTGTATCTCAAATGCTAGGAATTTCCTGTGAACGAGAGGGATCAGTTAAAGGAAAGCAGGCTTAACTAGATACTCCGCATGCATAATTGCAGATAAACATAGGGTACGACATATATTGCTCAACAAAAAGCACGCCAGAGACTTGTGATGATGAGCGATCCAGAGCAACGCAGCTCAGAAACAGCTTTGGTTTTTTCAAATGAATTTTTTTGAGTCCTTTCTCCCCATAGTAGGTATCTTTCCATATTTCTTAAAGGGCAAAGGAAAAAAAGCTCACAATGAGTCATTAAACTTTCAAGTGAGTCATCTGGCTTTCAGTAAAGCATGTGTAAAAATATTACTAATTTACAAACAATATCCAGTGTAACACAATGGGTCCAAAAAAGATGAATCTAAAAATGAGGCAATACCATAAAAGACACAAGGTCAGGTCAAATTCGGCCAAGAGATCAACCAATACAAATGTTCCCATGGCTGGTTTTCTTTCTTTTTTTTTTTTTTTTCTTTTTAAGCCCTCAGAGAATACTTTTTATACAAATAAATATTGCCTATGCAGTGCTAGCAACACAAACAGGCGAATGCCTTAGGGAGCAGAGGGGATCCTAGCAGGAAGCAGAAGTAAGCACGAAAAGAAACGAGTGTACTTTTTCTGTTAAAACTGCAATGCAAAAACTAAACTAATAGAATAAATACTGAAAAGTAAACTCCATTTTAAAATGCTCAGTTGAAACACTCTCAAGCACTGAAGCATAGCTGGAGCTGCATAAGGCAAAATATGATGTATGTGTGTCCAGCTGATAGGTCACACTAAGAAGTGTTTTTAATAACAGGCAAAGACAATTCAGGCTTGATTTTACTTTTACTGTGCCTCCCCTCATGAAAGAACCAATTTCTGCAGAAACAATATTGTCTCTTCATTTCTGATTTGTTTGCTCATTTTGCACACCTGCCATAATTTCGGCAATTTCACTGCATCATCTGTCATATATTCTTTCGTAAACATCTTTAGAGTTGGGAAAATGAAAAACTTAGAAAATTTAAAAAAGTCATTCAGGGATATAATATTAAAGAGAGGCCTCTAGCAGAATTTGATTATTTCCGTCCCCCCTTTGCATTAGAAGGTTTTAAGAGGTTGAAACTGTCTGCTTGTCTTGATAAGTGGATGAAACTCTGGAAGACCCAGTCGTGTTACTGAAGAGCGGGTGAGAAAGCGGGGCTGGAGATGCCTGCGAGGGCTGACCTGCAGGGCACGTCTCCTGAGCCGAAAACCTCTTTAACTCGGGACTCCGTGGGCTGCCAACCAGCCAGGGAGAAAGGGGCCAGAAGCAGCAACCCTTGCACACCAGAGGAACAAGGGAGCACGCTAGGCAGATCTTCCCTGGGGAGAAAAGACTTGTTTTCACTCTGCAGCACCGCAAAAGATAGTGACAGACTGTACACATTTGTTTAAAAAACAGTATTTTTTTTTTAAAGATTGGGATTTGCAGTTTTGGAGTTTCCTCCCCTGCAATTCATATTCAAGGATGACCCAAGTGCCCATTAACAATCAAACCACTGTGCAGCAACCCGGGAGCCTCAGCAATTATGAAGATAATGGTACCCTCCTCCTCCTCTCCTGAGGAATGGGGGAAGGGCAGGGAGCGCAGGGAAAAGAAAATCAGCAAATAGAATGATAATGTCATTCCCTCTCACCGACAGCAAGGGAAAGCTGCAATTAGACTTCTCTGATCAAAATGCTGGATAAAAATTCTATGGAATTTTAAAGTAGATCTAAAGCACGAGAAATACTTGGCTCATCTTTACTGAGAAGTCACCTGCTTGTAAAACGCAGCGCACGTGCAAGGTGTTTGTGCGCACAGGCAGTGTACGGAGCCGTCTTTACCCTTTGTAGGAGTTGTTCGCAGCACCCCAGTGCCATTTAACCCCAGGGTGTGAGATCACGTACACCCGCGTCTGCCCAGGGTATTTGGACGGCTCCATCGCCACAGGGTCGGAGCACCCACAGGAACTCGTGTTTTCCTTGCACCGCCCAAACCTGGGCAGAGCAGTGCTACTGCCCGTTACAGGCTGTGTCTACGCTAGCGAGTTGCGCAGCACAGTACGAGCGGAGCTGCTGGAAGGTCTCGCTCCACACGAGGTCCAGCCTGGTCCCAAGGACCGGACATGTGTGCGCAGTGGGGGAGCACTCGGAGCACTCCCAGAGGGTACCTCTCTATTTAGTTTCATCTGAAAGGAATCCCGTTCACAGGCAGAGACCCCAGCATGCTGCAGCCCAAAGCACGCTAAGCAGGGATCACCAGGATTGCTTCAAAAGTGCTCTCCTGATCCCAGCTGAGGCACTGATGCAGTGGCACCTCCTGCCTTGTCCAAGGGCTGGGAGACACCTGTGATGGGCGAGGGAAGCGATGCTCAGTCCTCGGCCAGGAGCAGCCTCCTTTTCTATCAGCCCTATACCAAAGTTTCCACGCAGCCATCAGTTACGCAATGCGTATTACACAAGAAGAGGGAGTGGATTTTTTTAGTCAAAGCTATCAACTTCCTCGCTCTTTCCTTCATCACTTCCTTTTAGTATTCTCTGCAGCAAGGTGCTATTCACCCCTAATACTACTGGTTCACCACTGCATTACTGCTGCTCTACGCTGGTGTAACTCAAGGAATTTACAGCAGGGCGGCAAAGAATCAGCCCTTGAATTAAGGCAATACAGCTTCAAAAGCCTTTGGCTGTCTCTTGCAAAGTGCTGCAGCCAGCTAGGACCAACTTTCCTCTGCAGGGGGAAGATAAAGAACAAGACCAACCACCAGATGCCAAAATGTGGTGATTTAGAGCTCAGACACTTGGAAGAACTTCCACCAGACACTTTTAGGGGCTCAGATTTTTTTCTGAACCTGAAATACAGCTATTTGGAAAGCAGCTGCATCATGGCATTACAGCAATCGTGCATGCTTACCCTCTGAAGGGCACTCACTGCAACCTATTGCACTGTCTTGCATGATGATGAACTCGGGCAGCCACCGATACTCACTTAGGAATTGGCACCCGAATTATTGTCCCATCCACTTCTGGGTTCAGGTTCATGCCACTCTCCCTTATAGCCTTCGTAGCTGCAGCTGTGCTCTGTAAAACAGATCAAAAGGTAAAGGGAATTAGGAAATAATCACTCCCATATGCCAGAACTCTGTCAATAGTTGGCAATCCATCTCCACGGAACATGGAAACATTTACTTCTGTTACCAGTAAGATCAGGAAGTTACATTGGTGCGGAGAGCTTTGATCAAACCGAATGGGAAACTATGGCCGCGCTTGGTATTGGGGTAGGGGGCACGAAGCGGGGGAGAGGGGAAGGGAAGCAACAACAAAAGAAAACTGTTTTGCTTCTTTGAAACTATTTGAATGGTTTGAGGCAACGCAGAGTGAAACCGCAATAAATTCCCAAGGCATAGCCTGACTGTGGCGAAGGAGATGAAAGATTCTGAGCATTTAAGAATTCCAGTTGAATGTTTCCCACTAGAAATCACACAGTGCCAATTTAGAAACGTTAACTAACTTAACCACTTCAGCACTACAACTTAACCACATTACATCAAGGCAGTAGCAGTTGGCTGAGAAATAGCGCCTGTGCCCAGCTCTATGTTTATTTTACAGCTTATTACTTAGGATTAACTTCTCAAAACTCCACCACCGCTGGCTGACACTCTGCTCCGCTTAAAAGGTGGGGTGCGCAGGTTTGCCTGGTAACTGCAAAGTGATTAAAAGGCTTCCTTCCCCATCCCAGGGCACTGGTGTACCTTTACAGAGTGTCAGGCTTCACAGTTAAATCAGTTTTGCCGGCAGCTCCCGCAGTGCTCTGCCAGGTTGCTTCGTTCTTGACATTGACAATAACAAGACCGAGCAAGCCTGTATTCTTGTGACACTCGCGTGGCATTTC